GTATGCACAATAGAAGTATATATTAGTAAAAAACTATCACAGCTATGTAGAATTAAGAAGTTAACGAGAAATAGTCGACCAACTTATAAAATGCACTTAGATTAGTAAAAATTTCGTTACAACTCTATAGAAAATGGCCTAAAACTAGCCTCATTAATAACTTTGTAATGTTATTGTATTATGAAGAAAATGACTTATATGATATAATATAAGATATTATCAAAATCGAAAAGTTTTTTAATATTTTTTGAATACCTACCACTCCCTATAAGGCTGATTTGAACATAAGTCCTTCAGCCCCGATCTTCCTATTTGGGCCCATTTTTAGTCATTATAGCAGTATATAAGTCGTGGCACGTAAGTTTAGCGGTTACCGTTATTGCGCATAAGTCGCGTTGATTGGCTCTTTGTATCATTCGCACGCGCTGATTGGCTCTCCAGTCGCATTCGTGCAATTCAATTCATGCGCGTCCCCTCCACGTTTCATTCAGCGCTAGACTTATGTGCCGCGACTTGTACCGCAAACTCACTTATCATGCTCATTATCAAGGAAGCCAACAAAATGTGACAGGCAATTACGGAACGGTACCTTTACATTGACTCGTGAACGACTCACTGGACGATGCTGCAAAGGAGAAAGTTCATCTTTTAGGTTCTGCGGTTACACACTGCCGAAAATCCCGCGGTGTGATTGCTCCATGCTGGATATACTCTCTGGATGTCAACAAGTCGAGGGGGCCTGATGGAGTCGCTCCTATTGTGTTGAAGACAGGTGCTCCGGAGTTAGCACCGGTTCTAATGCGTCTTTTTCGGTACTCCTACTGCTTATGCGTAACTGTACTGAACTTATGAAAGACAACTTTAATGCAGCCAATCCCTAAAAAGCAACCGCTCAGACCCGTCCAACACAGGCTTATCACCTTCATCTCCTTGTTCTACAAAATAATGGGATCCATTATAAAGTTCCAGCTCATAAGATATCTTGAGGACCATCAGCATCAGATGGCAGTCAGTCATCTGTTGGTTCTAGTTCTAATCATCTAATTTACCTAACTCATAGATGAGCAGAAACAATAGAGTCCGAGAGGGAGGCCTTTGTCGTTACTTTGATCATAGCGAAGGCTTTCGATGGGCTTTGGCACAAAGCGCTTCTTTAGAAGTTTCCTTCCTATGGGCTTCCCGATAAATTGTGTAATTGCATACTCTGACTAGGAGCCTATTAATGCTAGTTTCCACAAGGCTGCGTGCTATCACCTACGCTGTTTCTTCTGTATATCAATTACATATATGTTGCTGTTATAATACTAGTGATGCTTTTTACACCTTCCGGCTAATATTTCTCGGTCAAACGTTATTCAAGTATCGAAATAAACTTGTGTCTGAAGTAGAGTCTTAAATAAACAAAAATATCGGATTGGAGACCACTCTAGTCCCGTATAAACTTCACTAGACACAATTTAGCACGTTTACCGCTAACAAGAACGCCTTTGTCGTATCTACTCAATTTCAGAGCACTCCCCATGCTGCCTGAATCCTCGGCATCGACATATCGAATGATGTACAGTTCTGTGGTCACTTGGATGGGAAGGCTGAATTAGCCTCCTAGTAAAATATAAAAATCAGACAGAACAGGCCGGTGGGGAGGGGGCAGGATATTCAAAGTTAGCTTAGGGCTGTCGGAACTATAAATCGGGCACTGACTGACTGGAGACAGAGTCCTTCAATCCAAATATTAATTTCTGTAGTCTGATGTATATTTTATTTAAAGCATTACACAACAGACTTAAAAATGAAGATACCCGCAGTAGAACCAGAGAAGCCGACATAAGCCGGATATGTAAATTAAAGTGGCAATGGTCCGATCTATGAAGCAAATACAAAGAGGTATTGTAATTAGATTTCACTATGTAACAACGCGTGAAAGTTTGCGGAGTGAGGGGATGTTAAGCCCTGCCCACTTTACTGTCTACATCTACCGATAAATAGTAAAACTACTCGAATCGTTCCATATCGATGTTGCAATTTAGTTTAGCTACCTTGACAGTAGATGGCGACCTGTTCACAAAATGATTATAAAACCTAAAAATTTCAATTTCGATTTGCAATTTCAGCACCTTCGTATGATTATTTTACCAATACTGAGCCATATGTACCTTTATAATTTTAGTTCACATGACACAAAGTGACGCCATCTAGTGTCGAATATATTTAATTATATTTGAAAGCCGAAGCAAAGACATTTTTCCAGAACTATTTTATTAAATTAGTTGTAAAATTACTAACAAATGAAATGTGATGCCATCCATATCATCAGAGCGTCTATCTGAGTAGTTTTTATACGATAAAACACAACACATCATCCTTTTCTTCTTAATACTACGAAAATACACCGATTTGCGATTTTCAACAAATAAGCGCACAGGACGAATGCTGACAGTACACTAACTAAAGCCACGCCCACTATGATGACGCCAGGACCTACTTAGAATCACAGTGCACAGTTGCTTATGCCGTCTCCTCTTTGTATTTGCTTCATGGTCCGACCATATAGTTCAAAAAACCGACAAACGAGGAAGAAAGATGTTAACCTTATACCAGTAATCGAAGAGTGGGGCGGCCCTCCACTAGATGTAGTGACGACATAGTAAGATGTACAGGTGTTCGATGGATGCAGGAAGCTCAGGATCGTCCTTTGTGGTATTTCTTAGGGGCATATGTTCAGCAGTGGACTTGTGAAAGGCTGTAATAATAGTGATTTTTCACAATATGCTGTTGCGTCACATTGTAAAGTTTTTGGATTTTTTCTGGTCGGAAGCTGAGACGCGCAGCTCACAAATGGGTAAGTTCACATGCGTAGATATTTCTACAACAATCCGTCGGCGGTCAAGTTCCTGTCAAAAGAGTTGAATTGAGTTGCCATCTATTATTACGAAGAATATTTTCACAAACTCCATCTAGTACATACTCCGGTTCTGTTGTGGATACAATAGTTACGAATTCTATCATGCAAAGAAACTCCGAGCAAGGCCCTCTTATTAGCTCGTTGAGTGACCTTAAGCTTACTTATACGACCAGCAGTGAAGGGCCGTGTTGCAAGCCATAAGTCATCACTGACACACAATTTTTGTACTCACTTGTTTTAAGGCTTTTGGGATTATGTGACGAGAAGATGTGTCATAATCTCCTGAACACTGCCCAGCCAAGTTGGAACTGTCTATTAACTTTTCGGTCGATTAATCCTTTCGGACTAGTTGGAAATTTAGGTAAACCTACTCATTTACACTTTCAAGCGTAGTGTTTGCAACAAATACTGGCATTTGTATGACATGGAAGTTACACGTGATCTTCACCTTGTTCATGTTCTTCTTAAAACCTAACTTTTGGGAGATACTATTACTATAGAGAGGTTATCAAAGATAGTGGGAAGGTTTATTCCAACGATTTTTGTCATAATTACTGTATCGTCAGCAAATCTAAGATCAATGATGTATTTACCATTGACGCTGATGCAGTAACTTTTCCGGCCTTGTAGTCGGAAAACGTCTTCAAATGCAGTGCTGTAGAGCTTACACCTTTCTGTGGCTTGTACGTTTCGTTTCTACCTCGTTGGGTAAGTTGACGTAAGCACGACTGCTGATCATGAGACCCCGGGTTTGAATTTCGGGTCAGGCCTAAATTTGTTGTTGGGTTTTCTGTCAAGAAACCCTCAGTAGTAGTGGTGCCCGCGTGCCTCAGAAAGCTTATAAAACCGGTTATCCCTTACCTTTTCTCCAGATCCTTACCTAATCTCTGTCCATCGGATCGGAATATGAGAGTGATGGAATAGAGAGTGCACCTGTGCTTGCGCATTCACACATTAGACTTTAATTCTGTCAACTAGTCGAGATTGGCCAACTTGACCGAAATTAAATCACAATATACACATTTTGTATACTAAATATCACAGTTTTTGCCCTAGAACAAAATATAATATAAATATTACACTTTCTAATAAATATTCATCCTTCCACAGAAGTCCATCAAAAGTTTCACAAGACCAAATCATATGGTCATGGTGAATATACTGGCGTACGCCAGTATATTATAAGTCTATGGCTACAGCAGTATCAAAGAGTACCTAGATCAAGTATCAATCTGGGAATTTTGGCTTGACGGAAACTTGACCGGCGGCGGATTATTATTATTGTTACGAGCTTGGGGTTCGAGACAATTAAAAACTGCCGATTGAATTACCAAAATTGACAGTTTAATTACACAACACTAATTACAATCTAAAATTGCACTAATAATAAAACACAGTTCGCCGTTATTTTGCTTCGAAGTATTCTCTTGTATCGCCAATTCAATACTGCCTCGGTCGTGGTCTATATCGGCCTTATATAGGGCCTCAGATAGTTTCCAGAATCTTCTACTGTAGCGACATCTATAATGTTCGAGTACATATCGGTCCCGAAATTTCTGGAAGGATCTTGACTCTCCTAGTTCTGCTACTCAACACTAGAGGGCGCTAGTGTAACTAGTGTGGCCATGTACAAGACATTAATAGTGGCGCGCAACACTGTCCCCTCCTAAGACATGCTCGTCCCGAGCATTATTGGCCCCATAATAACGCGCCAGTCGATCCACATGGACGATCTTAGGAGTACCTCTGGCACTTTTCTGTATCCGGTAGGTTACGTCATTGATCCTTGTCACAATCCGGTACGGTCCGTCCCATTTAGCTTGAAGCTTAGGAGATTTCCCTTTGCTGCGAGCTGGATTGTGTAACCACACTAGTGAACCTTCGTCAAAGCCTTTGTTGTTCATTTTGCGGTCATACCGTGTTTTCATCTTCTCAGACGTTTGCTGGCCCGACTGTCTGACGTGCTCATAAATGTCACTCATTTTGTTCCGCAAGTCATTTGCATAATCGGATATACTGCGTGGGGCATCAGGTGGTATTCCGGTGATCAGGTCTGCAGGCAGTCGTAATTCTCTCCCAAAGTTTGCGAAAGCTGGCGTCACTGTTGTACTTTCGTGAACAGCGCTTCGATATGACAACTGTCCCAGTCTCGTTGCCCTTTTTCCACAACTTTTGCCAGGTACCTTTCCAATGTCTGATTAAATCGTTCTACCATTCCATCAGATTGTGGGTGGTAAGAAGTTGTTCGTGTTTTATGAGTACCCATAACTCTGCAAGTTTCCTGGAATATTTGAGACTCGAAATTCCTTCGTTGATCGCTGTGAATCTCTAAGGGTACTCCATAACGACAGAAGACTTCATGAACTAGTTTATCTGCAACTGTTGAAGCTTCTTGATTTGGAATGGCGAAGACTTCTGGCCACTTAGTGAAGTAATCCATCACAACCATGAAATACTTGTTACCACTTTCACTTTCCGGAAACGGCCCCGCAACGTCAATGGCTATCCTCTCCCATGGTGCACCAACATTGTACAATTTCAATGCGCCTCTACTATGAATTTGAGGTCCCTTTACAGCCGCACAACTTGTACATTTGCGGCACCAGTCCTCGACATCCTCACGACAGTGGATCCAGTAAAATCGTTCTCGAATCTTCAGTAGAGTTCGTTTAACTCCTAGGTGGCCTCCTGAACAACCACTATGGTACAGCTGTAGAACATCCGGTACTTTAGCCTTAGGGACAACCATTTGCAAATGACAACTGTCTCCCCGACCATTTTCCCATTTACGGCACAGGACTCCATCCTGAATCAGCAAGCTGTCCCATTGGGCCCAATAGCTTTTTCGTGGTCGAACTCATTGCTGAGACGTCACTCCACTTGGGCTTAGGAGCACTGGCCTTCATCCATTCCAGAATCGGCTTAATGTCCGAATCTTCCTGCTGTGCATGTTGTAGGCTATCCTTCCACTCATTGCTGAGCTGGTCTGTCCTGAGCATCCTCACAGATACCACTTCCTTACCCACTTGCCTAGTACAATGCTTGCAATCTTCAGGGCAAGGTCTTCTTGACAATGCATCTGCATTGCCATGAGATTTCACGCTGCGATGTTCGATCACAAAGTCGTATTCCTGCAGTAGTTCAATCCATCTCGCAACTTGTCCTTCCGGATTTTTGAACTGCAATAGTCATTTCAGTGCAGCATGGTCAGTTCGTAAGTGGAATTTCCGCCCTAGAAGATATTAGCCAAAATGCTGCAAGGACTTTACCACAGTAAGCAATTCCCGTCTTGTGACACAATAGTTCCTTTCCGGCTTTGACAACGACTTGCTGAAGTACGCTATCACAATTTCTTGATCACCATTCCGTTGAGACAACACACCGCCAAGTCCTATATCACTTGCGTCTGTGTCAACTATGAATTCCTTGCCCGCATCAGGGTACCCCAAAATAGGTGTTTTGCACAGACGGTTCTTGAGCTCCTGGAATGCAATATCGCAACTTTCATCCCAGCAGAAATGTCGCTTCTCCTCGGTTAGCTTGTGCAGAGGTTTGGCTATATCTGCAAAGTTCTTCACAAATCGCCGATAATAAGAACACAAACCTAAAAATGCTCTAACCTGTGTCTTGTCTTTTGGAACCGGCCACTCCTTGACAGCGGCAATTTCCTCTGGACCCGTGCGGATACCTTCTTCCGACACTACATACCCCAAAAAACTAACTTGCCGTTTGAATAGTGACACTTCTTCGGACTCAAATTGAGGTTGGCACTCTGGATCTTCATGAGCACGCGTTCCAGGTTTTGAAGGTGTTTCTCAAACGTATGGCCTACGATGATGATGTCATCCAAGTAGACCAGACAGGCATCTCCAATTAGCCCGGTAAGTACAAGCTCCATCAATCTTTCAAACGTTGCTGGAGCATTGCACAATCCAAATGGCATGACTTTAAATTGCCACAGACCCTTTCCTGTGGAGAATGCAGTTTTCTCCTTGTCCTTAGGGTCAATTTCAACCTGCCAGTAGCCACTTTTCAGGTCCAGCGTACTTTACGCCTGTGAGCATGTCCAGCGTGTCATCAATTCTAGGCAAGGGATAGCTGTCCTTCTTCGTAACGTCGTTCAGGCGGCGGTAGTCAACACAAAACCGCATGCTGCCATCCTTCTTCTTTACCAGCACCACAGGTGAACACCATGGACTAGATGAAGGTTCAATATCACCATCCTTCACCATTCCCTCAATCATGGTTTTCACTTCCTTTTCACGTGCTACAGGCAATCTTCTTGGCCGCTGACGAATAGGCAATTCTTGTCCTGTGTTTATTTTGTGTTGAACTAAGCCAGTCTTTCCTATGTCAGCTTCGTTTGACGAGAAAACATTGGCGTACTTGAGTAACAACTTCTTCGCCTTAACCATTTCATTCGGGGAGAGAACGCTGCGACAGTCTTCTAAAAGTGTGGTCACTCTTGTTTGTTCATCCTTGCTGAGGATCCCAGTCGATAGATATTGGCACCGACGCAACCAATCCACTTCCTCACTAGTACCAACCAATGTGCCTTTTTCTATAATCTGTTCCTGATCACAAAGGTTCAGCACACGTACTCCTGAGATGTCGGCGGTTCTGACCAAGGTTCGAGCCACTATCCATGGAAGGTCGTTGTCTACCCCTTCCACGAGTATACAACGAAGAGTTTGCCCAGGATTCCGAGGAAGTCTAACCGGCACAATCGTTTCCGATCTCGGCGGAAGAACAATCTTCTTAAGGCTGTACACATTCCCTGGTAACGCCCCTTCCACCAAAAGTTCCTCTTGTCCACATTTCAAAACACCTTGCTTAACGTCGATCTCACAACAATTGTTCCTCATAAAGTCTAGGCCCAGGATGCAGTCGTCCATTATATCAGCCACGATGACATTATGCAGGTAGATCATGTTGCCTAGCTTCAACTCCATCTCCTTCCCTCCACGGACGGGTATGCGCTGACCGGTGGCTGTCACCAAATTAATGCGTTCTCGGTTGTATGCGGAGTCCCCAAGGAACTGACTTATAAGTTGGGAATTGACAACCGTGCGAGAGGCTCCTGTGTCTATGGTCAGTTTACACGGCGTTCCGTTGACTTCGCCCTTGATGATTAGGCTGTTCCCATTATGGGTTTGTGAGATCGAAATCCTTGGGCTCTTTTAACATCAGCCAGCACCCGCCCCACAGTCCTGGCTTTTACTCGTTTCCCTGCTGCTGCTGGGCGGTGCTATTAGCCGCACTACCCTCTCGAGATCAATCACCTTCCCTTTCTACAGTTCGCTTAGGGCAGCTGGATCGAAGATGGCCCCTTTCCCCACAGCCGTAGCACCTAGGGCTGTAGCTTTTATTGTGGTCCTGAACTGTAGCTGCTGCAACCTCCCTGACGTGGTGGGAACGATGATCCTGCCGCACGGCTTCCACCTCCAGTGCATGGGTCAAGGCGTCCTTAAGCGTCTCGTGGTGCCCAAGCCTCACAGCAGTTTTCAAGGTCGCGGATGCCGTCGATGAATGTCTGCACCAGGTTCCTTACAATAAGCGCAGGTACAGACTGGTACGCTTTTCGAACCAGCTTCTCCGCCTCAAGGGCCCACTGCTGCAGGTTTTTGTTACTGCGTTGCACGCGAGCTGCGCACGAAAGACGTGTTCCAGGTGAGTATCGCCATATCTCGCCTCCAATGCCTCAAGGAGCTGCTCGTAAGTCACTTCCTTATCGAGAGCTTCCAGAACAGTTAAGGCCTGGTCGCGTAGGCCTACGGTGAGAGCAGTCATTGCCTGACTTTTATTCCAGCCGTTCACTTTCATGACAGCCTCGAACTGGATTTTGTAGGCCGACCAGAAAGAAGTTCCGTCGAACGGTGGCACTTTGAATCCACGTAGCGAAGGTGTTGTAGCTCCCACGGGAGCTGTAACTCCATCCCCAATTTTGAGGTCGTTCAGCGTTTCCTTCACATCAACCATCACGTTGTTAACCCGATTGTTCACTTGATCGATTCGGGTTTCAGCTTTCGACAGGCGGTTGTCATGTTGAGCGACCCTATCCTTCACCTCCCTTATCTCTTTCCCGAAGGTAGCGTGAAGGTCCTTCATGAGAAGAAGCTGCTCTTCCAACCGACGGCCCTGTTCCTCCTGTTGGCGGGCCTGTTTCTCCTGTCCGCGCTGCAGCTGCTCTTCCAACCGACGGACCTGTTCTTCCAGTCCGCGCTGCAGCTGCTCTTCCAACCGACGGCCCTGTTCCTCCTGTCAGCGGGCTTGTTCCTCGTGTCGGCGAGCCTGATCCTGCAACATCATCATCAGAGCACCTAAGTCAGGTGCTGCAGATGCAGGAGCTGCTGACGGGCTGGCCTCCGTGGTCAGCATCTGGCCCTCCGACGTTTGCGGCGTTGCATTACCAAATCGTCTCTGGTCCGCTTCCAGCTGGCGTTGACTTCGGGTACGCATACCCTCCATGTCGTCCTTTGGTAAAATCGGCATGATTTGATCCCACTTCTGACACCAATTGTTACGAGCTTGGGGTTCGAGACAATTTAAAACTGCCGATTGAATTACCGAAATTGACACTTTAATTACACAACACTAATTACAATCTAATCTCACACTTATAATAAAACAGAGTTCGTCGTTATTTCGCTTCGAAGTATTCTCTTGTATCGTCAATTCAATACTGCCTCGGTCGTGGTCTATACCGGCCTTATATAGGGCCTCAGATAGTTTCCAGAATCTTCTACTGTAGTGACATCTAGAATGTTCGAGTACATATCGGTCCCGAAATTTCTGGAACGATCTTGATCTTAACTCTCCTAGTTCTGCTACTCGACACTAGAGGGCGTTACTGTAACTAGTGTTGCCATGTACAAGACATTAATAGTGGTGCGCAACTTTATTTAAATAATGGTTTGAAGTTGATGTTAACATGGAAAAGTGGTGTGATTTTGTGTATTAAATGTCTGCACATGTGAACTATTAGTGGAAACGGCGAAACAATTGGTCCGATAGTGATGTTAAGCTCGGGCGCCTAAAGATATTATTGCCAACTGTCTGCTGGCTGGTAAACGACTGTCAAAATCTCCTAAAACTATGCAATTCAACGCATCAACATATTGTGAAGCAGTGCACTATAAAGGAGTATTATCACTTGATACTGAAAATCTATAAAATTGAAGATACCGAATGAAATGAAGACATGTCTTAATAGACAAACATCCAAGCCAAAAATTTAATGAAAAGTGTCAAATTTCTTGTCAAAAAAGAGCGAGGGAGAGTTTTGGCGGGAACTTGACCGGCGGCGGTTTGCTGCTCCTGTATTTAAATAATACATATGAAGAGGTTTAAATAACAGTTTAAAGTGGATTTTGATATGTAAAAGTGGTGCGAGTTTATGTATTAACTGTCTACGCATGTGAAATATTAGTGGAAACGGTGAAACAAGTGCTCTGATGGTGATGGATTCTCAAGATAATCTGTTTGTCTGCATAGGTGCCTTTAGATACCATCGCCAACTGTCAGCCGTCTGTTGGCTCAAGTTACCGTCAAAATCTCCCAAGGGCTGCACAATGTGATGCATCAACATATTGTGAAGCATTGAATTATGAAGGATAATTAAAAAAAAAAAGACAAGGCTGTATGGCTTAGTTCCTTTGCCTGCTCCCTCGAGCGAATAATAAAAACAACAACAACAGAGTGCGTGAGGGTGGAGCGCGGAAACCTTGAACGTGATAGGCGCCTTTTTTA